ACTAGTGAGATCATGTATTACCGTAGTCAAGAGCTCGCGCAAGTTCTGTGGTTTTTACAGCGCTATAATAATACAACTTTTATTTTGTTTCTCTTTCTGCCACGCAACGGAAAATAAATTTGCAATGTCATTTCCTCGTCACTTAACAGTTGTTTCCCGTTTAGTTGTCTCAGCCTTGACGAGGTCAATTGACTGTCTTGATGTAAATTCGACAACCGGATTCTTGCCGGAGCCAAACATAATAGGCAATATTGAGAAATAAAGCGATATACACTCCCTGTGAGACATTTTAGTGTGTTGCAACGCAACGATTTTACGAGTCTCGTGGTATTTTGGCCATTCCGTAGACTTAGTCACAATACAAATGGCGAGTAAAAATATAGAGGTGACCTACTGCACAATACAATACCTAACACGAGATTTATTATCGAACGTTAACTTTTTCTTTGAACTGTGTTTTGCGTTCTGCTGTTATTTGGCAAAGGTGTAATTATGATGCATATGGCTGTTTGTTAAAAGTGCTCCCTGTTAAATCAGTTACAGAGTGACAGTCATAGCGAAAGAGTTCGCTTCTCCAGTCTCTGGAAAACGCATTACGTCCGAGATAGCCGGCGCCTTGTGGGAATGGCCCCCTGCAGTATGTGGAAGTCACGTAACGGAGGATTCGTTAGATCGGGCCAAGGTTTGGTGCATGGACAGCTACACTAAGTTCGTAGAGATGGCCATGAGCGCAGAAGAAACAGGAGTGTTTATGAAACAGTCTGTGTTCTACTTCAAGGACAAAGTCGAAGATATCCCCGCTCATTTGGAGAAAATGAATGAGATAAGTCATCTCCCGGGTTTTCAACATGAAAAGAACCTCATTGAAGAGACTGGTAAGTCGCGGAAATCTGATGCAGTACGAGCTTTTGTCGGTTTTGTTGCTGTCTATGTAATTGGGGACACTGTAAACGAGTAAACAAATATTTCAAATGAAACATAAACTATTAAGAATCCCAACTAGTGGGAGGTTGACCAGTTGACTATTTACACAGAGCGGTCGAGGAGATGAATTCGGGACTACCGAGAACAAATTCACCAGCATAGTAGTAGGGTGGAGTGTTTGAACCAGGGACCTCTAGATTTTAAATCCAGTGCCCTAAACCACTCGAGTCAACCATTGTACTGTCAGTTAAGCTCTCCCCCTTTCACTCCTATATCGTTGTATTTTGGTATAAGATTACCTCCTAACAATTTGCGGGAACTCATTTATACTCCTTGATTACCAGCGAATATTTGACACTTTTAAGAGCCTCTTGAGCCTTATATCTCATCTATACTCCTTCGGTACGGCCGAGGGATGCTTTAAGTAGAGTGTCCTGCCCAAAAAACACAAGGTAACGAGATCAGCCAGGACTCGAACCGGAGCCGCTCAATGCAGAGTCGAACGTACCGACCATTAGGCTTAGCAGTGCCAGTGGCACTAACGCATTTATTGTTTTTCTCAGCCGTGAACCCGGCGTTTGGTGTTGTGGACGCGTACCAACACATGGCACCTATGATTGACACTGCTGTCTTCATGCAGTGGCTTTACCAGCAGTGTCACCAGCGCGGCTGTCGCTTTGTACAAGATGACATCCACGGACTATTAAGAGACCAGGCAGAAGAGTTGAAGATTAAATACAAATCCCAGTTGATCGTCAATTGCTCTGGCCTCAGTGCTAGAGAACTGGCAGGGGATGAAAACGTTTACCCGTCAAGAGGTGAGACTGGTAGTTATACAATAGCATTCACTACGTAGAGGATTTATCTAACGTCTTTACATCCTTGTTGCCAGCCAATTCAGACCACGTGATGATTCATTTGGGAGGTTACAAATGTGCAATTTGCCAAACACAACTGAGAGCATGAGGACATGTATAAACAGAACAATTGTAAACCTCCCAATTGAATCATCAAGTGATCTGAACTGGGTGGCCACAAGAATGAAAACACGTTATCCGAATCCTTATATTACAGATACCAGAGATAGCTAACTGTCGGTACCCCTGTCGGTGTTTTTTTTCCTATATTGCAAGGAGAAAGCAGATCTTGATCATACTTGAAGGTAAATGGCAGGCTCCACGGCCTAATGCTTAGCGCACCGGATTCCGGTATCATTGTGTTGTGTTCTTGGGCAAGATTCATTGTTGTCTTAGTACCACGATCTCTCCCTACCCAGATGCATAAACGGGTACCGGTGAAGTTAACGCTTTGGGTAATTAACTCTCTGATGGTCTGTTATACCATCCATGCATCCATGGGGTGGTAGAAAAATTCCTAATCGCTTAATGTTTTTCGGAAACTGGAGATAAGCGCCAGCCTGATGTATGGGCCACTGAGCTCAAACGTAGACTTCACTTTGAAAGTAACGAGTCATCCAATTATATACATATGACTGAATTTAAGGAAACCGCGTCAATACTTCGCAACAAAACAGCCATATGCACTTTGGTTTCACAACTCCAAAAGGCCTTAAAATCACTCCAAGTGATAAGAAAAAGAGAGAGAGAGGAGAGCAAGCAAAGGAAGATAAGAGAGCGGAAGGATAAAAAAGACTGAAATTCCTTTTAATTTTTATATCGTCTACTTTGGAGTCTCTGGCAAGAAAAAAAAACCGCTTGAGCAGGGCGCGATTTCTTTAACACTGTTTTCATAAGCCCAGACATATATCTTTTATACTATTTTCAGGGGCGATACTGAAAGTTCGGAACGATGGCAGTTTGATGCCTAAGTTGACACACTCCATGTGTATCTCATCCATGACCGACAAACTTCAACAGGGAGATGTAGACTTTGTATATATTTTACCGAGAAATGACGACACACTATGGTTAGGCGGTTTGGGACAACCCAACCAATGGGACAGAAATCTCACGCTCGATTATGCACCAATCAGAACAATGTTTGACAACATCAAGGAGTTTTATCCACCGCTGCGTAACTATGGAGACGATGACGTGGAAGAAGTACTAGTGGGACTGCGGCCAGCTCGTAGAGGTGACATCTGCTTGGAGTGGGACCCTGTGTGTTCCTCTGTTCTACACAATTATGGACATGGCGGTTCAGGGGTTACGTTATCGTGGGGTTGCGCCAGCGAAGTTTGCGCGTTAATAGACCACGCCCTAAAAAGACGAAGACTAATTTATGTCTCAAGTTTATGAACTTTGAGCAGAAAATTCTGTTGAAAGATAACTTGATGGTGAAATGTCTTCATTACTGATTTTCTATTCATTGCTGTAGCTAGACGAAAATTATTACGGAGGCAATATAAAACCTCGAAAACGTTTTACCTGTTGTATATATTGATTTATTTATTTGACGCTGAACTTTTATACAAACCTGAAATAACGATATTCAAAATCGGTTTTTACTATGGTCAGTTACTATTTCAGCTGGACCCTTGAAGGTAACTGAATGGCCTGTAATATCATGGACAGCAGTTTGCTTTTAAAGCGTTTGGAATTAATTAGCATATTTAATTTAGATAGAGAGATTTTAAAAGTAGTTTTGGAATTACTTTGACAACATCAACTCAGGTAGCCGCTGTTTTATAAAGTATAATATATATTTATTTCATTTTTCGAACTGCACTGCGGGCAACTGCTTAGTGATCTTTAAACCAGCCAAGTTGTTTTCTTAATGCGAGAGTACGTTTTACATTTTTAAAGTTATACACAATGTTGATAATTACCTTTTTAAAGTTTTCAACATACCCAAATGCTTTAACATGTAATCCGTGTGTTGTAGTTTTTATTTCTTATATTTATGTACCATAAATGTACCATAACGCGTGTACATTTTGTATATATTATAATGACCAGTCTACTTTATAACTTTTTATCAATGCAAAGTGCAATTTTCCAAAATCAAACAAAGTACCATCAAGTTTACAGGTAAAAAAATAAAAGAGTAATTCGTTTCACAGTTTAATTGTGAACAAGGTCTCGAATATATTACTACTCAGATCACAACACAAAAAAGGCCTCGGCAGTGAAATATCGGTTATTATTGAACAAGCGTTAGATACGAGTCATCATATTTGAGTACAAATTTGGTTATTAATCGTATCTATAACAAAATTTCCGCCCGCCTATTTGTCGGATGTTACTAAAACTGGTAACTGGTAACGGTAAACTGTGAACGGGGAACCGGGAATCGGGACTGGGAGTCTGGGAACGAGTGTACAGCGGTAACCCGCCTGAGAATTCAGAATGGCGGACAAAGGAAGAGAAAAGGAACAATTTGGAGAAATGCGAGGAAGTGTTACGGTTGTAAACGTGAGTATCTGCCGGCTTCGTCCCCAGATGACCACTACGTTCTTGTTAGAGCAGAGTCCGATTGGTACTGGGATAAACAAAGCATGAAATGGCGCCTGGGGAGAAAATCGAATCATTATTATCACATGCTACCCTAATCCGTCAGGCCACAGTCGTTCTTAAGGTGGCTCAAAACAGTTTTCTGTATTTTTTTTTTTTAACTTTTAAAACTAGGTGTGATTTTTCAGGCTTGGAACTGTACTGTTTTGAATGACTATGCTATTTTTTTAAGGGAACTCTCCACTGTACCTCTAATTGTGTTTAAGTTAAATTGAGGTGGTACTGTTCTGTTGACACACTTTTTACCGTCAATTGCATCTATTTTAAAAACTAAGCCGGTGACCCCATATGTTGACATATATATATAAATCTTTTTATTACACACATAAGAAGAAACAGGGAAAATTAGAAAAAAAAATTCTGTGGAGTAGATTTTGCTTAAATTAAAAACAATAGAAATTTCAAGATTGGAAAAATTCCATTCCACAGTTTTTTTTTACAATTTCGCACAAGCACTCCGCTTTTGCTGTTGAATTATCTTTTGCATAGTCTAGCCGATATTTTATCGGCTAGTGTGCGGCGGCCTATCGAAAGCGTTTTGCGAATGCCCGAAACTTTCGGCAAAGAAACATTTTCCCGCCCTAAAATCATCGGTTCGTCAACGTTACAATATTATAAATTTACAATATTATAGATTAAATTTAAAGCAAAAATGGTAAGGATGCTGGCTACCCGAAATAACCTAAGAGTTAAAAATGCCAGGTAGCCAAAGATATTTTACATATTTATGTTTATGTCAGGGACAGAAAACAAGTCGTCACGCAACCGCTTCTAAGTTGGTTGTCTATTGCGTGACTCACCAAATTCCAGCCTTGAGGTACATGTCTGTGTCAGATTTGACGCATTAAAATACGTCAATAGATGTTAAGTGCGCTATTTGACTTAACTTGTAAATTTCCCGCGAAAAAAATAATAAACACGACACAAAGTTGAATTAATTCGATTATGTTAATTATCTCATTTTAATAAGATCAAGATATTAATTTTTAAGTTAATCACAAATAACATGCAGTTTGAAACCTAAACACCGTGTGATAAGATCGTTGAAACAGATCGGCTTCTTCCTGTTTAGTTCTTTTTTTTATCAGCTGTCGTGATCTCTCCCAATCGATTCTCCATGAGCCATCTTGGCGGGCATCAAAATCGTATCTCGGTTTCTCGGAATATCTTTGTACGTGTTCCAAGCTCTTCCTGTCTTTCTCATCATGGAACATTTCAGGTCTTTCGGTTCTGTCTTTAAAAACTGGAAGATAATAGGAAGGAAGGATTAACATATTTAACCTTTAGTTAGAGTTGCTGACAAACCTGCATTTATTCATTTACCTAGCTTTTGCCCAACCAGGCGAACACGACTGCACAAAATAGTTTAATATCGTTATGACGCTGTTATTTCCTCTGCTTATTATAGCCCCCCGCCCTATGCCCCCCCCTGCCCCTTTTCCCCACATACACACATAACCCTCTCTGCTATGAATCTGCATATTATGTTTTTGATAACAAGAAGTCCATGGAAAATAACGATCACAGTTACCTCTTGCTATTTTCTGCGGGCAAAGAGTCCTTCATTTCTCTTTTTTATGTCACACAGATTTACTTTCTCCTTTTCATGTTATTCCTCTCCAGTTGAAAGATTTTGCGAAGAACGTCGAGGAGGGAGGGGAGGTGCAAGCTTAGGCGTAGTTTTATAACGATCTCAATTTTTTTTTCTTTAACATTTGATATTCATAGAATTATAATTTCTATTTTCAATTCAAAACAAAGTTGTCACTTTTCTGAGATTGTATTAGTGTCATTACACGGAAGACCTCGAAAAACAGACCCCCATGCAATGTAAAATATATCTCATATTCAGGAATAAAACTGTTTTCGTAACCTTCAAGAGGGAATTTAACGAATGACATTTAAGCCTGATTCTCACATGCCGCCGACCTACCTACAACGTTAGTCGCCGGTTGCAAGTGACAACGTTCAGCGACCTGTTCTGGTGGGTTCCCGGCGCATCTGCGATGGATCACCGACGTACTCAAATTCGCGCGAAATGCAAATCGAATTGGCGCACTTTTCAACCATTCCATCTGTAAAGTAAGAGATTGTAGGAAAACTCGCGTTGATACGTCATACATTGCGTCCGCAGATGGTCCAGATAATGTTCACATAAAATATTTTCATCGCCGACAACCGCCGGCTTGCCTGCGAAGTTGAACTCAGCTCAACTTCGCAGGCAAGCCGGCGGTCAATGCTTGGGATAGATTATGATTCGGCGATAAATGTTCACATATGCTGTAACGGTGACCCAGGTATGTCGGCGGCATATGAGAACCAGACTGTAAAGGCCATTAATGAATTCTCTACTGAGTTACTTCGCTGCATGTTTCGGTCGTTCAGTCTGTATTAGGATGAAACGACACAACAAAGGGAGTTTCATTGCCTAGTATATAAGCTGGTACAACGGCTATAACTAGTTATGCAACATTTCTGGATTTTCCTAGGACCTTAAATTAAACTTTGGAAAATATGTATTTTTTTAAGTCACCTTTGAACTGATATGGTGGCTGCTGGTAATTTTAATTGTTAATGTCTCGGATGCGAACTTAAAGCATAACGCTTCGTTTGCAAGAATTTTTTGTTTCCAAAAAAAAGCTTCGAAATTAATTGTAATCCTTGAAACGTCAGATTTACATCATCTTTGGCATTCTAACTCATCAAGCGAGGAGGAGAGATCTTTGGCGATATGTATTGATCAAGAAATTATTGGAACTGGGAAGGGACTATGGAACAGTATGCAGTAGTGCGAGCTTCCCTTTATCGCTAGCAGCCGTATATTTTAGATTTCATTAAATTGGAGATCAAAAGAAGGAAGTTTGTACAACTTCAGAATGAAACTTGTCAGTGGTTGCGTTTTTGTCTAAAGATGAAAAGTTTCGGTTTAGCGGCTTGTTCGCAATTACTTGGTATCGACTAATTCGATAAAGGAAGAAACAAAACCATTTTATCCATCGTAAGCTTTCAGTGATTTCAACAAACTCAACATTTTGTTTCACTTTTTCTACCACACGTACTACAGTGTTAAATTAACGATAAAAAAATTTAGGAAGTCTAATTTATATTATTAAATTGGATTACTGGATAAAATAACCCTCGGTATGCGGGGAGTTCAAGCTAATTGTCATGGACTAAACCGAAGAGCCCTCGCATAGGCCTTAATGTGAATGAAAATCGATGTTGTCAGAAAATTAATTGCTTTTCTAGCTTAGGCGCAAGGTGGCAGGGTGAAAGTTTGTTACGTGTCACTGAATGATGTGGGAATTTTAATTAAAATGTTGACAACAATTAATCTGTTGTCATAACGGCAGTGAACTTTGACTTACTGCGGTGGGAATGGCCGGTCAAAGAATTTCAAGTCGGGAAACATCATGCGTTTTGCCTTAACAATAGTATCCACTCACATACCAGAAATACTGCACATATATCTGAAGGCTTATCAATTGACGCAAAAGGTTATCAAAACCTGCTCTCTTCATTATCAGGATATATCTTTCTCTTTTTCAGCTGTTTATTTATTCAACGACGTGTTCCATTCAAAACTAAACTTAGCACTGATCACGAGAAAGGGCTAGGCCCGAAACCTTGAGTTTAATTTGGCACTCAATTATTACTATTTACAACTTTTGAACTGTTTACTGTGCCACGAAGCATGCAACTGATCCTTTTGCATCACAAATTAATATTTATATCTTTAGCTACCTATCTTTCGTTGAGATATATCGCATAGCTTATTGTAACATGCTTATTGATTCAAGAAGGAATTGCAATGCAACGGACCTTAAACCCAACTGATTTTTAGTCATTTACTACCCATGTGCAATAACTGACACATTTTTTGTAAACTTGTCTTGCATAAAGATTGACGTAAGTAGCTCTTTGATATCAGCTTAGCCTAAACCACTCGCAACAACCATAACTGGCTTATGTGTGAGCCCGGATCGGAGAAGTACTCTACAAAATTTAGACTGGGAGCCGCCCTGAGGTCCAATCCCTTTAGTTACCCTTTTGTGTAAAGCTACCCCTTTCGTTTATACCGTTTATTGAAAAAAAAAAAAAAAAAAGTACCGCTTTCACATACATTACTTGGAAACACACTGTACCCCTTTTCTAAACTATTGGAATGAAGTTGATGAACAATATTACGAGAACATCAAACATTACCAGAAGATCATATCAAGGTGGGGGTCTACATGAAGGCCGTATTTTGCTGGGTATTATGGTTTTAACGCAAATATCTCGTTCACGTTTCAAGCAGTCAAGAAGCTCTCTGCTCATCCCACATATCTATGTCTTGGGCTGTTTTGTAAATTTTTTGGTGATTTTTGGGTATATATGGGGTTAATAGTTTTTCTCAAAGGTTTGGTAAAATTTATGGAAATAGGAAATTTTGAAGATTTGGTGTTGTTTTAAAATTAGAATTGAAGTTAAAAATTGGTAGACGTACACCAAACAGTTGTCCACTAACCTGGGGTGCCGTTTCGGGGGTCGTTCAATTGTCTGGTGGTGTTCCATAACCTTTTTTTTCCTTTTAGTCCCTCTTTAAACTTACTAAACTTGCACTTAAATTCAGTTAGACTCCCACCTTAACCAAAAAAAAAGTATTACTGCATTAATCCATATTCAGTTCACGCTCACGTTGTACCTAAATGACAGGTTTCTCTAGCCTTCCATATACCTCAACGGAGCCTCTCCGCATATACCATTACAGGGCAGGGAGTACTCCCTTTCCCCCTTGTCGGGCCCGTGAACTACCACAATAGGTCGAAAACCGAATCGCAGATGGGTTAAGAAGAATTACTTTCAATGGAGCCGCTCACAGAGAGTAGTCTTGTGATATTGAAACGATGAAGAGATAATCGCAAATCTTAATTAACTTAGCTGTTACTTTACCGACTGACTTCAAACACTAGCTAAATTAAGAGTCAATTAACTGCCGAGCTTCGGTGATTGCGGAGTTCCAAATGTCGCATATGGTTTGCTGTTTTAAAAAGAGCACCGCGCCACTTGTGCTGTCGGCTGATACCCAAATCTGACCTTTTTTCAAGATTGTTGCGCCCAATTTGCAAATTTTAAAAACTTTTGCCCCATCTCACACCAACCAGAGTGTGCCAGAGTATTCATATATGATTGCAAACGTGCATGATCTCTCAAAACCTATACACGGCCTACTTCACAGGTGGACGCGTTGATTCCGTCCAATTGCATTGCCATCCTTAGTAGTTACTCAGCTATGGACAATTTTCGATTGTTTTTCAGTGTGGTTTTAGATATTGTAAGTGTAATTAATTTTACAAAATTACGATTTTAATAGAGGCTTCAACAGAACGCGTCCGCAATGGTAGTAGTGATAACAGTACTTTTTTTCCTGATGAACACAAAGCAAACTTAATCCAATTGCGACTTTGAAGGAGGCGGATAAATTAAATTTGAGGCTTATATTGTTCATGCCGTCTTAATGAAGTTAGTATTAATTCCTACACGAGGCGTAAGGTTCGAGAAGGTTTTCCGCTAAATAAGCTATGTAGAAATGTGCCAACCCGAGGAATTCATGTGAAGTACATGTATTTGAGCTGAGTTTCAGTTTAAAATTATGGTTGGGGATGGGGTACGCCTTTTTAAAGGGAAGCAAAGTCACGTCGATATGCAAAACCGATTGCGATTAGTGGATTCAAACGGCAAAAAGAGAACTTAAAAGTAAACGGAACGAAACGTTTTGAATTAATTCGAAAAAGTGCATTCAGGCCGAAATAACGCTTCACTCAAATTGCGAACAGATTTTAATTAAAGCATCGGTTCTTAACTTCATTACAGCAGAGATTTTAGAAGAATAATGCCGAATTTAATGGTTCGCGAAAAACCGAGGTCGAGATTCCTTTTCCAACGATTCTATGTGTTTCCCAAGTCGCTTGAAAGAAATTTGATGATAACATAACCGCGGCTGTGTCAAAATCGATCAGTGAAGGTCGGACCTTACTAACAAGCAATATTTATTTAACATAATCTGGTTGTTTTTACAGTGTTTTTTATTTTGAATGAATCGGCTTTCAATTGTTCACCGCATGAGTAAAGCCCTGACAAGAAAGGAAATCATACAACAAGTGAACACTGATTTAGCCTTTATTTATTTATTTATTTTTAGTTTTTTTTTTTAGCACTGCATTGATGCCATTTGGCGAATGCTTTGAGTTAAAATTCTTTGTATCATGAAGTAAAACAAACGAAATTTAATGATCTATTGCAATCAATTACAACGGCCTCCAGAAATATGGTCCACTATTAGTCATAGAAGTTTCTCAATGGGCTTAAACATGAAAAGCCAAGTCGATTGGATAAAAATTAAAATCAAAGCCGCCGCCAAACACGAGTAATGAAGGGGTTTTTGGATCTCGGTGTCCTCCATTTCGGCTTAGTCTTAGTAAGGCTACTCACACGCGCTGCCATCACGTTTAGATTTCAGCTGTTACATAATGCTATGGCATTTAGTGGAAGGGAAAAAACGCTGAAAGCAACTTCTCGAAACTTCAAAACTTCACTCACCGTACATTAGAGGAGTGAAGGCAAATATGGAGTGCCTGTTAGTTCGAGATGCAATTATTCGATAGAAGTAGTCAAGCGACAATTACAATCCCCTCCACCGTAGAATCTAGAGTGAAATGACTCGCAGATTTGAGCTCGCAAAGAAATAATTTAATAATTTTTTGCCTCTCAGGAATTTCTGCTTTCGTGGGCAGGTTGAATAAATGATATTTAGTTTACAAGATAAAAAGGCTCAAAGTTGCCGACTCTTAAGGGTATGTGCAAATCCCTGCTTGCACCTGTATCTTCTAAATTATGATCGAATAAATAAACATAGCGTGACTAGATATTTCAAGCTGTGAAATATCATTAGGTTATATAAGAACATATACATATATGCATGGAGCGATGCATGACCGATTATTCGATATTTTTACTTGAGTCAGAATTATGTGAAACGCACTGCAGTGAACATGTGTTCATATAGTCTTATTGGCAAAAGGATCGATGTATTCTTTATCACGTTCAACAATTTAGCTTGCATGCTGAAAAATAAGCGACATTCTAAACGATGTTGTGTCGCCGGCCAGACACTATTGTTAAAAGAACAATAGTTTTTAACAGCGAAAAATAACCAAAATAGCAGTGATTGTAGTCTCAGCGCTAGCAATGTTGACAATTTCCTTTTAAATTTTTCTATCGTATTCTGTTTCGATGAGCTATTTTGAGAACGAAACTTATTCTTCCAGGTTTATTTTCGGTTTCCGCCAGAGTGGTATGACCTCGTATCGATCGATCATTTCACTATAGTCACCAGCTACAAGAACTTCAAAATCATAATACGATCTTTTCAGTGTACAGTAAGGGCTCTTGAGGACTCAAATAGATAAGATTTGCATACCATCATTGTCGAATGTTCTTCCTTATGGAAATGGAAGAAGGAAATAGACATTCAATTGTACAATGTTGAATTATTTGTTCGTCGTTCAGTGATCTAGGAAGTTATTAATGAGATTTAACACAGTACAGCGTTGTAAAACGCCCCTAAATATAGCGTGCATTGGAAATAGATTTTTTTAAGTTTGCTTAACTGAATAAACAGGCCTTCAGTGACAACAGAAACATCGGTTTGTTTTTCAAAGCTGTTGAACTTGCTTTTGTAAGAATTTTGTACAAACAAATTAAACTGATCTATCGTGTTTGGTTCCTATGAGTCAGGGGGGAAGTAAGCAGGTTATTTTTACTTCATTGAAGACTCAACATTAGTTTCGAAAGGGAAGGGCGTCACCCATGGTTGGGTAGGTTCACTTGCGGCGATGGCTCCAAACTGTCGCGGCAATTTTAACTTGTTTTGGCCTTGTGATATTGTTCAACGAGAAACCAGATTATTTCCTCTTGGCAACAATGTTCCAAATCTGCGAGACTCGTTGTTTCGTAGTAATATTAGATCGTCTTCTAATTCGTCAGGTGTTCCCACGTCAAACGTTCAAATCCGGGGAGTATTCAGCAGCTGGTGTAAGGCCGACTGTGAAATCAACTCGCAGCTCCGTTTGCCCGTATCTGGACTGTAAAGCCTATGATAAATTGCTACTGTCGGCAATAAGCTACTCATAGTCAGAACCTCTCATGAATCGTGTTACTTGCTTCCGTTTTGAGATTGTACTAGATGTTAGCCGAGCGAGAGGTTCTGATAGCAAAGCGTTAAAATAAAAAATATCCTGATCGACTGCAGCATGACTGCCCCCGTTTCCTCTTGGAATGTGATTTTCCTCACTTTCCACTCCTGTGTCTACAAGTCTTCGTTATTTGCGGAACTTCGGTGATTCCGTGATTACAACAGTTAATCAGTGGTTTAGCATAATCGGGATAATCTCAAGCGCGGACCTGTCCTAAATCGACTCAAAAATGCGACCACTAACATTGATCGTTTGTTTTTCTCACAGCAAGCGGTAATTTGCCAGCAAGTGCATCATACCTTACTAAAAAAAAAAAAGTAAACTCAACTTTCTTGAATGTGACTGCCGGAATTTATCCAAGAAGATAACGGCATTCCTTTTACGTTCTAATATCGCTTTACGCAATATAGCTCGACCTCGCAAGTGTGTAAACACAAACTTTTATTTCTCTCGTACCGAGAACACATATAAAATTAGAAATTGTTTTTCCGTGATTAAAATTCACTTCAGCCAGTCATTGAAACAATATCATTAACTAAGCTCCGCACGGACTACAATGGATGTCAATTATCATTGAAAACTGGTTTTTGCACCAGGGGGTAGGGGAGGGGTGAAGAATCATAACTTCGCAACTCAAACTTCCTGTTGTCTTGGCTTTTGGTTCCTAAATATCCGTTTGTATCACAACCGCAGGTTATCGAGTGTTTTTCAAGCTGAGCCCACCAAAGCCGTAAAGACCAACCAGGTATTGACGTATTTTGAGGTGCGCCAAAAATTGTCCCCAACCCCACCCGGTGGAACTTCCTTTTGTGGGATGTTTCGCATGGTTTCTCTCGAATGCGAGTGTTTAGTTGACAGAGCTCTGATTTCATAGACACATTGCCAAGGGAATTCGAAAGACAATCATCGATTAGCAAATGAGACTTAGTTCAGTACGTGATTATATTCAGCTCAGATCAGGCGCCATATTCTAACAAGAACTAGATCAGTTCTACCTGAATCACAGCTTTACTGCAGAAGTCTACCAAGTGTTACTGCGAAAGCAATCTTCCGTTTTTCGCTGAATCACTACGCACTCGAGCGCAGGGAAGCCATGAATTTCGTAACGAAGATCATTGTTGTGCTGACTTTCATCTGCTTGTGTGAATTGAGTGATGCGAGAAGAGGTGAGCTTTAGTTGGATTAATTCGCTTTGATTTTTATTCTATTGGCTGCAAGTGCGTTAAGAAAATCAACAGTTTTACTACGAGGGAATTTCATTGATTCGCACAAGCATTGTACCGGAATCTTTGAACGAAGGTTTTCCGTTCTCCCGCCTTGAACCACAACAAAAGAGTGTCCACTCGTTAATTTATCGATTCACCAAGTGTAAAAACTGGGGCATTTTAATGTAGCAATTGTTAGGGGCAAGATGAAGTACTACAAGCGTTGAATTGAAAGGAATATCCTTGAGAAAACCTCGACTACGTGATGTACAGCAAAAACATCAGATAACTCTACTGAAGCAGTACGTGGGAAGTGAACACAAAAGGTCCAAAGATCAAGCATTGTTAAAACTGATCCAGCGTAAATATTTCAAACTTTTTACTAAGTGAGCAAGGAATCAGACATTGGTAAATTAAATCCCTGAAAATATGCGGCAGGTTCGAAAGCAAAATCCGTCGTAATAATAAAAACATTCTTTTGTTTTCCTTTATGCGTAAAGGTTCGAAGCATCGCAAGCATCCGGAAAAACCGAACGCTTCGGAAGTGGACGAGCAGGAATCCACAAATGGATCGGTGGCGTTTGGAACCGGCAATCTCACCTCGACAACACAGCCACCCATGACTTCACGTCTTCCTGACAAAGTTAACCCTGTGCCTCAGGCGCTCAACAGACGGCACCTGGAGAAGCGGTGTTGCAGAATCGGCTACCGCGCTGCCAAACGAAAGTTCTTTTGTATGATAGACGCCTTTTACAGCGCTAAATACAGGAACATGGAGCACTTTGCCAAGCAGAAGTTTCAATCGCGAAAACCCTCGCGAGCAACGCGGCGTTTCATGCACCATTTGGATAAGTACTGCATCAAACATCAGCTCAAAGGCGTGTTCTACAAGTGCTGTATGGACGGAATCTATACCGCGCGCGAAAAAGGTGGACAATAATCTTCGAGGACAATGGAGGTGCAACGAACAAGTGTATAATGCATTAATTGATGTATTTTGAACAATGTCGTTAAGGAAAACAATATGTTAGAAATGTAAATGTGTTTAAACAGAGATCGTGTATAATTCAATTCAACAGACGAAATATTGGGCACGGCCCAAGTAAGTCTCGTGTGGATCTACTGATTAATTTTGAGGATCGTGTTACTGGAATTTTGCTTGTTGTTGTCTCTCGTCAGACGCGATGCGTGTTTAATTCCTTGTGGAAACACTTAGCTTTTTTCCTGTCGGGTGGAAACAGTGTACATTGATCAGCACATGTCATTTCTTAGAGTTAGTATTGTAGTAGAACCATTAAAAAACAATTTTCGTTCTTTTTGTTCAAACGAATTTGTACAAATATTGCACAATATTTACGCTCAGGACGAAATGTAAAATACAGAAAGGTTGTAGATCTTTTGTACATAGTTGAGATATTTTAATTTGGCAAGACCCAGAATATTGAACCAGGCGCGAGGTCCGCACGGAGAGAATATCGGCCCGAGCTGTTAACAGCAGCAACCGGGCTCAGCCTGGACTGTTGGATAACGATTTCCCCCTATGTGGTCCCGAGCAATCTTGGTTCATACGAGAATTATTGCACGACTGACTGTTTACAAAAATCCCACGATCACGGAGTAAAACGACATCACGAAGTTCAGGCGCGCAATTTTGGCTGGGAGCCCACTTACTTTTTACTTAACAACTGGAATGAGGGAAAAGAAAATTTGAAGAAAAATAAATAAAAGGAATGTCTTTTATGTAAGTTTCTTCTAGTAGAAAAGTAAGCCATTAAAACTATAAGGGCAGTGCCTGGCAAAGTACTCTCAGGGTATTGGACTGGCAATGCAACAACCTGATTGGTTGACTTTAGTTATTGGACCTGTGAACTAACTTAGTCGTGTAATAAAATTGGTTATTTACCCGTATTGAAATATCGGATGTCGTATTATAATTTGCATCTCTCTTGCTCAGCTGTAAATCGAAGGCTGTTTTTTTAAAAGCATTCATTTAACCTGTAAATAAAATAATTTGATTTTGTGATGTTGGTTTTGTTTTCTTATTCTCCGTTTAGGAAGTCTTTTGAGTAATTTTTGGCCGTTTCTTGGCGGGGTGGGGGGGGGCACAGTAGGCAAAATAGGGAAATAAGGTAGACAAACATTGGACATTAAACACAATAGAAGTAAAACTCACTCGTTGTATCATTAACAAAACTGCCACTGAAATTCAGCTAAGTAGCTAGACTGATACTAACAAAATAACTTCATTCGCACATAGTTACGTGCGGGACAAGGTTCTTATTATTTTGCAAACACTGCAAATAGGTGGGATTACGTTTATGCCCGATCCCTAAAGCATAATTTTCCAGCCTAAAACTGGGCGCATAATTCCCTTGCTAAGAATTTTTTTTCACCTTTTTCAGCGAATTAAAATCGAGGTAAGTGAATCGGGAGTCAACACGGTCCCTGACTTCGCAGGACTGATTTACGCCGTTTCCCGAGGCAGAAAGTTATAATTTTTACAGACCAAAATATTCAAGTAATGACGAAATCGCTACGAAGCAAAGCAAAGAGGATTGAAAAGTATTATAGAGAGCCATGTTTTCATGTANAAAATAGGGAAATAAGGTAGACAAACATTGGACATTAAACATAATAAAAGTAAAACTCACTTCGAAGTGCACTCGTGCTACCGCTGATAACTACTACCATCATGCCGAACTCGTTGTATTATTAACAAAACTGCCACTGAAATTCAGCTAGAATTAGAAAGTAGCTAGACTGATACTAACAAAATAACTTCATTCGCACATAGTTACGTGCGGGACAAGGTCCTTATTATTTTGCAAACACTGCAAATAGGTGAAGTACGTTTATGCCCGATCCCTAAAGCATAATTTTCCAGCCTAAAACTGGGCGCATAATTCCCTTGCTAAGAATTTTTTTTCACCTTTTTCAGCGAATTAAAATCGTGGTAAGTGAATCGGGAGTTAATACGGTCCCTGACTTCGCAGGACTGATTTACGACGTTTCCCGAGGCAGAAAGTTATAATCTTTACAGACCAAAATATTCAAGTAATGACGAAATCGCTACGAAGCAAAGCAAAGAGGATTGAAGAGTATTATACAGAGCCATGTTTTCATGTAAACTGACTTTAAAAAATCTTATAATGCTTCCGTTCTGCGGCATGATCGAGAAATCGTAGATGATTTTACCCTAATGACGTTGTTTCCCGTTGATCTGAGCTTTTGAGTGGAAATGTTTCTATAGTTTCACACCAATCTTTGTTTTGCTGTTAATTCGATGTTGAGACAACTTTGTGGGTGTCAGAAATATCTAAAGTACCGCGGTCTAAAAAGCATTGACCTATCAATTAATTAATTGTTGCAACACCTGGTATGCACGCACTGAAATACCCCGAACACGACAGTCGGTAGCCTGCGAACAGGCTCCCAGCGAGGACGGAAAAAATTTCGGCGAGTGCGAAACAGAAGAATTCGGAGAGCAAAGCGATCGGGGCGGGAGCCTGTGCGCAAGCTAGTCAGTCGGTTGTTTAAATTTGTTCAGGGGCTCTCAATGGAGGATTGTTCCACCCATGCCATGTATAAACGGGATGGTAATTTGTAAATGTCAACAGCTTAATTGGCTTTCAACGCAAATTAATTATCGGCACACTAAGATAAACAATCGGCGATCGGTTCTATTTCAGTAATGCTTAGAGTGGTTGTCCTATTTCCAAAGCTTACCTCCCGAAGATAAGATTAATTCTTAGAAAAGATTTACTACTCATAATGGTTGCATTTAATGCGCAGAAAGATCTTTACAATAAAGTCATTTTCGGAGAAAAGAGTTAGTGTTAGAAATATGCCTGTAATGGTTCCAGAAAACCCCTTCCATTTCTGTGATCGTAGCTTTTTAAGCCTTTTAGGACCTCTCTGTTACAAATTTCGGTTTCTTCTTGTTCAACGCAGCGTGCACAAGCTAAATGCTAGAACATCGCTTATCCTACTTTAAGCAGCTAAAACGAGATCAGAATCGGAGAGGTTAGTCTCGCCCCCTGCAGCCAGGGGATTACTCAAGATTTTGTCAAAAAATGCAAGATTTATCGCCGAAATTCTCAAAATCAATGAACTACAAAAGGGATGTATACATGCAATGTTCTCGATTCTTCCAATCGTAGGTTGGGTCACTGCAAGCGATTTTGAACAATTGATTCCAAACTGAAGAGTTTTCACTAAGAAACTAAAATGGTAACCAGTTGTCACTGATCACTGGGTTTCGCTGCGTTGCAGCTGATCTTTAAAGTTTCGTGCAAGGCTTCGAATCTGGTCACATGTTCATCAGTGGAGAAAGCTTCTCTGGTATGCAAGAATGTTAAGCAATATGTTTAGTTCATTTCACTGAGCTGGGATCCAATTCAGTTCAAAAATAAGGGTTAGCGCGTTCCAGAGAAACTCTCTTGGGATGGAAGCACGCAATCAGTGCTAAACTTTATGTGGAAGCTATGGGGCCATGGGAAAGCTAAAACGAGGAGGGGGGGATCTTGATGCGATGGGTTAAGAGGGTTAATGAGAAACTGAAACATACATAGGTAAAGTTTTTGTAGAAATCTCTCAGCTCAATCACTGATCCTGGTGTTCAGCAGCAGGTGCTTCTGGCAGTGTTAAATAGCACTCTTATACTGGAAGGCCGGTGGTTGATGGAGATATATATAGTCAATATATTCCGGTGCAGTCGAGAGAATAAAACTGCGACAGCCTGCAAGAGAATCTGTCAATGTAATAGTGAGCAAAGCAAATCGCAGTTCAATTTCGTGGATGACACATGTATGGGAGGCCGCCGCGGATGCTGCCATGGATAGTAAAGAGACTGGATTGTCTCTTTACTATCCATGATGCTGCATAAAGACACGATTTCTACCCCGTTCTCGGGAGCGGTCGAACGATCGCGGCCGCGTGCGGGCCGGTTTACATGGCTGTATCCGATCATCCGAAAGGCTGGAGATATATCATGTTTTGGTTTAGGTCGATTTTTGGCCACCAAACATGTGAAGTTCTCGAGTCACATTGAAGACAATATTTCAAGCTGGCAAATGAAAATTTCACTACCGTTTTGGCAGCCAGATCTCAGCAAGACATGGTCTCTTGATCTCAGTCAATCCTAAAGGGCAGAATCGGCCACCTACTGGAACAGAAAGTTACTGCAATCCGTTGCTTGGAAATTAAATCTCGTTCGATTTTGGGACTGGTAGTTTCACGAAAATATCAACGCTAGTCTGACATAGAGAAATATATACGTTAATCAAAGTGACAGAATGTTCATTATTTGCCCTGCATGAGATCTAGATGTCTGAAAATGGTTGAACAGGTTACAAAAAGCGTAACCCCGTAACCCTGCGCCACAGTTTCCTTATTACACGAAGTTTTCGCGACACGTTAATTTCGCGATTTTTAAAGTGACGCCAACAGTAAGTGTCGCGAACACGGCGTTGACAAAACCTGGATCGGACCAGATCACGGATCGGATCAAGGAAAAAAAATTCAAAATTCAAAATTCAAGATTGAAAATTCAAACTTTTGCTGAGCAAATTACACTAGAGTGACTACTGTGAGCAGAACGTTTTATTTAGTTCAGGTGTGATATTCCTTTATTCCTTTATAATATCAAAGGTAAAAACGAGGCAGCATGGTAATAGTGAGACGAACGTATGAATCGAAACACAAAAACTAAAAACACACTAAACAAGTTAAACACCTGATGATTTCAAACAAGTTTCGTTTTTGAGACAAGTCTATACTTTTACAAGATGTGAGGTTGGAATACGATATTTCGCACTGGAATAAAACGAAACAAGCCATTTGTATTTCAAAGAAATATAGCTGTTTTTCAAAATATTCTAGGGATAACCGTGACACATCTATAGTCTGAGCGATAACGCAACCCGAGAATAAACAACATTTGAGGAGTTACGTCACGACTTTTAAAGTCATTTTTAGGGTCGTAAAGAGTTCCCTGTAAAGAGAATAAAACCTTGAAGTGATCGTGTTCTAGGGTAGAAAGCACTTAAGAGGCAAGAAAAAATCAAAGCGGAATGAGGATCATTAAGGATGGCAAAGATTAACAAGGACTGCAAATG